CTCCGCAACAGCGCCGGCCGCCGGAGCTGACGGAGGGGTGAAGGGCCTGCTCGGAGAAGTCACCGATGGCACAAAACGGGCAGGAGCGGCCGAGACCTCAGAGGGTTTTGTCGCCCTTGAGAGAGACCTCGACAGGCTGGAGGGATGGCTGAGAAAAGCCTGAAATTCAGGGTCCTGCAGCTGGGGGAGGAATAGCCTCACCACCGTGAGGAGCTGGGGTGATCTGCCGGAGAGTAGCTCTGTGGAGAAGGACCTGGGGGGCTGAAGGACAGCAAGGTCTTGCAGCAGTGCGCTTGTGGCCGAGAAGGCCAATGGTATCCCGGGGTGCCTTAGGAAGAGCATTGCCAGCAGGGGCAGGGAAGTGATCCTGCCCCTCTGCTCAGCCCCGCTGAGGCTCTGCTTGGAGTGCTGTGTCCAGGTCTGGGCTCCCCAGTGACAGAGACAAGGAGATCCTGGAGCGGGTCCAGCACAGGGATGAAGATGATTAAGGGATCGGGCATCTCTCTTACAAGGAAAAGCTGAGACAGCTGAGCTGTTCAGCCTTGAGAAGAGATGATTGATAGGGGGCGTCATTAATATGTATAAATGCCTAAAGAGGAGGTGTCAGGCTCTGCTCTGGGGTGCCAACCACTAGGTCACCACTGAATGGGAAGAAACTGATGCATAGGAACCTCCATATAAATAGGAGGCAGAACTTTGTGCAGGTGACCCCATACTAGAACAGATTGCCCAGAGAGGTTGTGGAATCTCTTCATCTAGAGATATTGGAAGCTGTCTGGGTGCAGTTCTGTGCAATGTGCTCTAGGACAGGGAGGGTGGACCAGGTGACCCACTGTGATGCTTTCCGACTGTTTTAATGCTATCTCTCTGTGAGCAGTTTCCCTTCACAACAGATGCGATTTTTTCTGCTCCCTGCAAAACTCATCGGCTGTCTTTCACCTCAGATTTGACCAGCTCTATGTTTTACTGTCAACTTCTAATCGGGTATTAAAAAAAAAACCTTACAAACAACTGCAGCTGGAAGAATTGCCTCTGTATGTTGTTAATTCCAACGCCTAAGTGCACTCACATTATCTTGGCCGCTCCCCGGCAGAAATGGAAGGCGGGTTGCCTCCCTGACGGACCGGCAGCTGCC